CACAGTAGGGCGGGCACGGGCAAGATGCCCGGGCTTGCGTGAGGGTTTAGATACCACCAGGGGAGCACCTTAGGCCGCTCCAGTCAGCGGCCCTGTGGGGGCGGGACTGGGAGACGCCAACTACCGATGCCATGGGCGTCACAGAGGCCGTCAGAGCCCACGTGTGGCCTGACAGGATTCTCTGTCGCACAGAAAACACCTTTCGCCGTCCATCTCGGTGTTAGGTGAAACAAGTGATTGCGCGAGCCTGCAGAGATGCCTCGGGAAGGTAGACAAGATGGCGTCTGCATGGAAACCAGTTCCAGATAGTGTAGGAAGTGTACATAGGAAGGGAAAAAAAGAAGTATTTTACAGATTTCACGGCAGACTAACAAAGATCACTGTTTCCAATTTGTTATCATAGGAATATATAAATAAATATATACTTTATAATGCATAACTATGATATATATATAACTATAAAGTATATATTTATTTATAACTATATATGCATAACTATGGTATGTATGGGAGACGCATTCGTTCCCCTGTATTTTCTCCTGGTCTCTCCCCCGCAGAGAGGGCTGGCTGTTTGGATTCAAGAGCTAGGCGTTCATGTGCAGCCTGTCCCCATTAGAGGGCGCTGTTGCCTCGCCCATGCAGGGATGCGCCTGCTTCGCTCTCGCAAAGAACCTGGAACAGTTTTTCTCTCTGAGCAGCAGCTCTGTGTTTGCATAAAGAAACAGAACAAACAACCAACAGTTTGGAGCACATTTCAGATAAGGAGGAAACAGCACTAACTGTCCTTAGCAAATTCATCAGATATAACTTGCTGATCAGATACTGGATGTTTGAGGGTTTTTTCAAGCAGATTCCAGGAACATTTTCTACAAATAAGTGCCATTACCTCTTTCAAGTGAAATAACCTAATCTACTCAAAAAGAGATAGCGTGACAAATAGTTGCATGCAGGGGGTCAGATTCCTGGCCTCACGAAGCCTCCGATGATTTACCTATAAAACAGGTGATGATTGTACTAACTTCGTGAGGCCGTTGGGAGGATTAGCTGGGACGCCTGGGAAAGGCTCAGCACAGGTCAGGGACACAGAAAGCACCGTGTGACCGCCAGCGAGTCCCATTACAAGCCGTGGCTGTTTCTGCGGGAAGTGCCTCTGGCATGTCTGTCAAAAGAAACGAGTAAACGCATAGACCCTGGGACGAGCCTGAAGTCCTGTGCACGTGCACGGCGGATCTCCTGTGCACTGTCGTGTCAGCTCAACATGCTCATTCCAGATGGCTGTGAAGAACGGAATCGGTTCTCATCATCAGTTTAAATTTACAAACGACTGAGTGCCGAGTGGTGTAACACAACGCTGAGGTAAAATGCCTGTGAATTCCTACGTCGGGCTGTGGGTTCGAAGGCCGACAGCCATCTAGGCGTGGCCGTACTGGGCACGCTGCGTATGTCATCTGTTGCCTTTGGAACAAAGGCTGTGTTTCATCAAC